GTATCCAAGTGCCTGTTGGCGAAACAAGATCCTGCTCGAGTTCTGGGGGAAGCTCGATGATGAAATCGGCTAGAACTTGCGATTTTTCGGCTGGCTTGCCTTGGTACGTGACGTCGTGTTCACTGAGTTCGATTGCCCATTTCGACAATCGACCGGACTGGTTGGTGTTCTGCATGATTGTGCGCAACGGTTGATTGGTCAAAATGACGATCGAATGAGATTGGAAGTAGGGCCTAAGCTTTCTTGCCGAAGTGATGACCGCCAGGGCCATTTTTTCGAGGGTTGAGTATCGCGTCTCGGCGTCGGTCATTCGCTTGCTTGTATAAAAGATTGGGTGCTGTTCACCGCGATCTTCCTTGACGAGGACACTGCTGACGGCGATCGAGGAGACTGCGATATAAAGGTAAAGTGTATCTCCTTTTTCTGGTTTAGCTAGTACGGGTGGCGTGGTGAGGTAATGTTTCAGTTGGTCGAACGCCTCTTCACACTTCTCGTCCCAAACGAACTTCTTATTGCCGCGCAACAAGTTGTAGAAAGGGAGGCACTTGTCGGTCGACCGCGAGATGAATCGGTTAAGCGCTGCCACTCGTCCCGTCAGCCTTTGCACTTCGCGACTGTTTTTGGGGCTCGGCAGATCGAGGATGGCAGAGATCTGCTTTGGATTTGCTTCGATCCCCCTTTGTGTCACGATGTAACCGAGAAATTCACCAGACGTGACTCCGAACGTGCACTTGGCTGGATTGAGCTTCATGCCGTATTCGTTCAGCGTCCGAAAGCAGTCAACCAAGTGGCTTAGGTGGTCGGTCGCCCGGCGAGATTTTACCATCATGTCGTCGATGTAGACTTCCATTGTATCGCCCAATCGGTCGGCAAACATTCTGTTGACCAGACGCTGATAGGTTGCGCTGGCGTTCTTGAGTCCGAAGGGCATGACTTTGTAGCAATATGTTCCTACGTCTGTGATAAATGCCGTTTTCTCCCGATCATGAGGATGCATCATGATTTGGTTGTACCCCGAAAAGGCATCCATAAATGTTAGCAATTCATTTCCGGCCGTTGATTCGACTAGGCGATCGATATGCGGGAGGGGAAAACTGTCCTTCGGACATGCTTTGTTTAGATCGGTGAAATCGACGCAAACGCGCCATTTTCCGTTCTTCTTCTTTACCACGACGGGGTTTGCTAACCACTCGGGGTACTTGACTTCTTCGATCGACCCTGCGCTGAGTAATCGATCGACCTCTTCGTTCACCGCTTTTGAACGTTCTGGTCCCAACTTTCTTCTTTTCTGTCGAACTGGTTTGATTGTTGGGTCGACGTTCAGCTCGTGGGTCGTAATGGAAGGGCTTATCCCTTTCATATCGGCGGTCGTCCAAGCGAAAGTTGACGCGTTTTCCTTCAAGAAAGAGACGATCATGTCTTTCGTGTCGGTCGGCAGTTGAGCGCCTATTCGGACGATTTTGCTTGGGTCGTCTCCATCAATGGGTACCTCCAAGATCTCCTCCTTGAAAGGAGCGATTTTTTGAAATGGTCTAGTGACGGCATTCACGTGGCAGGGCGATCGGCGGAGCTTTATTTCCGAAACGAGGAGGTCGCGGGCGGCTGCCTGATCTCCACGTAAAGTGATTATTCGACCGTCAATGCCCGGGAACTTGATGCATTGGTGATAAGTTGACGGGATCGCCTTCATCGAGTGAATCCACGGTGTTCCGAGAATCGCGTTATATGGAGTTTTTACGTCGATTATCGAGAACTTGACGTTCTTGTTCACGCCATGAGCGTGGACTCGCAATCGTATGGTGCCGAGCATTGTTTCGGAGGATCCATTGAATCCTGTCAGGGATCGCGTGGAAGGTTTGATCGTGCGGAGGTCGATTCCCATCTTCTCAAGAGTTTCTTTGAAGATGAGGTCGACTGAACTCCNGAGAATCGTTATGGGGCATGTGAACCCCTTTAGCGTCTTCAGCGGAGAAGGTAATCTGGGGGACGTTCTCCCATATGGTGCTACGGTTCTGTGCAGTGACTGCTCTCCGGCGGAAATCCTTAACTGAACGGACCGAGTCGATATGGGGAGGTGATCCTCCCAAGATCACGTTTAATCGTTTGGGCGCGTTTGAGCGCTTCAATCGGGCATCGTTCAACTGCGTACGCAGGTCCTCCGTTGTTTCGTCACTCTTGGCCCCGGCCGATCGATTGAGTTGGTTGCGCAAGTCGCCAACACGCGAGTTGATTATTGATCGAAGGTCATGCTTCTTAGCGTCCAGGCGATGGCGAGCGTCCAGCGTATTCAGTTTCCTGATTTTCGAAGTTGCGATCGTCCGCTGCAGGTTTTCGGGAGGAGGTTCAATGTTCAGCTTTGCGTTCTTCCGTTTGAGAGAGTCACGCAGATCGTGTTGTAACCTGAGGTCGTCCTTCTGCGTGTTCTCTGAGGTGGATGAGTCAGATTGTCCTTCCTTTGCCGATGTATCATCCGTCAGGGAGAGCGCAGGGGTCGTCCTGATTGTGAAGATCTTCCGGCGGGATGTGGGTTTCTCTTCGTCAGATCCAGACTCATCTTCGTTCGAAGGAGTGATATCTTCCTTCGGGGGAGATCGATCGGCCGAGTTGCTGCGATCGTTACTCTTCCTGTCTTTGCTCTTTCCCGCGCCTTTTGCACTCGTGTCGGGCTGTTGCTTCGGAGGTTCAGGATGAGCGTGCTTCTCGACGAAACTCGTCATGAGGAAGTTTTTGAGATGATTACATTCCTTAGTCTCATGTCCGTACGCTTTGTGGTATCCGCACCACTTGGTTGCGTCGTACGCACTATTGGCCAGATTCGTTCGGGCGGCCTGCTTTTTTCCGTCGACTTCCAACGTCCATTTGTTGCTTCGCTGGCCGCGAACGGCTAATGTCGGGTCCGGCTGTTTTTCATCTGGGATGGCGTTGACGAGGCCTTTCTTTTTATCCGGTTTGTTGTAGGACGCGTGCTGCCTGGGTTCGGTGTGACCTTCGGCTGCCTTCAAGGCCGCTTGCTTTAGCTCGTTTTGCTTTTTGATGTACGATCGCTTGTCCTCTTCCAACCGGATAAAATTTTGGGAACGATGGAGGGCGTCTTGGAGGGAGATCGTGGGATTATAGTAGAGATCGTCTCGAAATTTGGAGTGTATCCACAACGCATTTCGTAGTGCTTCGACGGCTGTTTGGTCGGGGATCTCGATCTGTGTCACCACCTTCTTGAATTTTTCCATGAAATCCTTAAGGCTTTCGGAGGCCGATTGCGACATCTTCCACAAGTCTGCCGAGGTCGTTTCTTGTCGAGTGAACATAATGTAGTGTTTCAGAAACTGCGCCGAGAGGTCGTGGAAGTTATCGATCGACCCTTCGGTCAATCGCGAGAACCAGGTTAACGCCGGTCCGGAGAGGCTTTCGATGAAAAGTTGGCAGAAGCCCGCATCTTTCTCCTCGTCGGAGAAGTTCGTCCTCCCCATTGCTATGTTGAACGCTGTCACATGGTCCGTCGGATCTGTTTCGCCGGCGTATGTCGGGAGACGGAGCTTGTTAATTTTTTTGATTTTGGTATCCGTAATCCGCTTTGTGAATGGGTTCTTTAGCGTGGTAGCGAGGACGCGTTCGATTTCTGGGGCGGACGTTGTGACATGGTGTATCTTAGAGTGAATGTCTTTCATCGATTTTCTCAACTCCTCGATCTGGGACTTGGTGGCTGCGTCCAGTCCGTCGGTCGTTTGACCGGTAAGGTCGGTTTCATTAGCTGCACCACCAACTGTATCCGCACGACCGACTGCAGGACCTGCTCCGGCGGGCGTCGGATTCGTTGAGGTGAAAAGTAATCGACGTCTCGCCGTTTCCGTGTCTCCGGTGTCACCGTCTGTCGCGGCAAGAGCAGCAGCAAGTGCGGTCAATCGCTCGTTCATGACTCTGTTGGTTTCCTCTTGCCGTTGGAGTTGGTTCATGATGCGCTGCATCATGTCGTCGGCCGCCGGAGTCGCAGCGACTGGTCCCTGCGCCGGTGCGTCGTCGGTTTGAGAGTCGTCAGGAGGCATACTGATTTCGTTAACGNCGGTCAATCGCTCGTTCATGACTCTGTTGGTTTCCTCTTGCCGTTGGAGTTGGTTCATGATGCGCTGCATCATGTCGTCGGCCGCCGGAGTCGCAGCGACTGGTCCCTGCGCCGGTGCGTCGTCGGTTTGAGAGTCGTCAGGAGGCATACTGATTTCGTTAACGCTACTTCGTAAGGCCCCACGGTGGGCGCCAAATGTAGAATCTGAGTTTTGTACGGTCGATTGACTAGAAAACTAAACTCGATTTGTGGGTTCTTCGAAGGCGTTTTATTAATCAGAGTTGATATCAAGAGGAGATTACAGAAAGATTCGAGAAAAGAACAAAGGTCGGAGCTTTATGAAAGTCCGACTAGATTACAAGGAGATTCGATTGATCGTAAAACCCTAAACCTTGCCGTCAGAGTTCTTGTAGTAATTTGCGGATCCCTTCTCTTTCCCCCTCTTCGTCCTTTTATACTCCAAGTTCTTTTTCCTTGCTTCGTTCGCCCTAAAGCTCGTCTTAGAGGCCCAAGATCGAGCTCGTGCTTAATGGGCTTTCGAGCTAACAATTACTCGTTAACCTGGTTTAAATCGTCCTCATCCCGGTTATGTAATTGAACCGATCGTTCGGACTTCTAGTTCGACGTTTCTTCCAATTGGATTTCGGTCGGACTTTAGATGGGCCGAAGACTGTCATTCGATGGGCCTTGGGGAGAGATGATCAATCCTCCTCCAACACAATACATCCGCCACCAACTTTCATCAGTTTATCTATGTAAAATATTTAAAATAAGGTTGACTCCACGTTGATCGGTTTCATTAGGAACTGCCTGATTAACCAACACAAAACAGTCGTTAACTATTTATTTTTTTTCTTGTCAACTTATTTATCATGTACTACAACAGAACTTAAGCATATAATAAATATGCATGTGCGTGTTTGGTATGGTACTGGTTTCATGACGCACACTTACTCAAAGATTATATGGCTCACGTTTCTGTTGAGCTTTTATCTCATCGCAGGTTTTCTCTATAAATACGCTTCAATATAAAACTAAAGTCTCATATTCTTCACTTTAACTCAATAGATATTCTCTCAATATATTTGATCTTAATCTCCATAATAAAAACAAGAATTGTGTAGTACTTAGTCAGATAAAAAAATGGCTAAGTTCACAACTTTCTTCTTCATCACTGCCCTCCTCCTCTGCTCCATGCTAACATACATATCAGCTCGGCCCATTTCAACTTCCGTTTATCCGGAAGAAATCTCCGTCCAGGTTTCTCACCCTCATCCTCACTCTTCTTGTTGTACACATATCATTTATGTTGAACACACAGTAGTTCATAATTAGCATATATACTCACGTGCGTATATATCTTTTTGTTATGCACAGAAACTTGAACAAGGAGAGGAAAACTGCGAAGGTGTGGCTGAAGAAGAGTGCGTCTTGATACGAAGAACTTTAGTTGCTCACACTGATTACATCTATACCCAAAGCCACAATCCTTAATTGGTTAATTATTTTATTTGAACAATTTGGTAAACGATATACTGTGTCGTTGTACTCTCTTTATTATTAGTCAAACTACATCACATTTGTAATCATCGCTGTCACTTAATATGAATATATATGGGTATTTGATTACTAGTGTTTTATATTTTTTTCATATAAAATTTTGATTATCACTGCATTATTTATGTAACTAACCGTTCCCCATAAGTTTTAAGTTAACCAATAAAATGAATAAGCACAATTAGTTTTATGAAATTTACAATTTAACATTAACTAATACATTAAAAAGATAAAAATGTATTTTTTTGAAATAATTTTTTTTTCTAGAATATACTTCCTCTGTTTCATTAAGTTACATATTCTAGAAAAATATGTTTTACAAAATCTAGTTTTTGTATTTTCCATGCATGTTTTATCAATAATAATGATTAATTACAAATTTCCAAAAATTTAATTGTATATATTGAAATTTTCTTGGTTTAAAATTATAAGAAAAGGAGAATTACAAAAATTTATGTATTTATTAGATATTTTATTAAAATATACTCCATCCGTTTCAAATTGATTCATATTATAGAAATTTTTTTGTTTCAAAATGATTAATTTTTAACTTTTTCAATGCAAAGAATAATGATAAATAGTAGATTTCAAGAAAATTAATTGTTTTTATTGAATTTTGATTGGTTATCACTTATGGGAAATAGTTACACACAAAAAATAATGCAATTATAATCAAAATTTAAGAGGTTTTTTTAATATGTGTGATAATTTAAAAACATCTATTCTATTGAAACAGATACAGTATGAAACATCTAGAATATGGATTGTATTGAAACAGATGAAATACATCTTATTGGTATATAGGGAATAGTATTAGTTGAATATGTTCTCATCAATCTCATCTTCAACCATAATAAGTTTTGATATTTATTGAGAATCTTACTGCAACCACACAAGCTTATTAGTCTCATCCCTTCGTTACTTTCATTTTCTTGTTTTAAATGAAAGCAGCTGACTTTCTTGTGGAAATTAATTCTCTACTTTTCATATATCACCACTCACCAGTTTTTATTTCCATATCTTGCAAATGCATTAACTGAAGTAATAAAAGCACACACCTATGAAATAACGACACATCTCTATGTATGTGTAGACAGTAGACATACATACTTCCAGATCACTGAGTGGATTTTAAAAACATAACCACAAAATATCAATAACAATTAACAAGCTACGTTAACCATAAGGTGGTGATTTAGTGGTAGATGAGCTTTGGAATTTGTTAAGAGCAGTTTCATCGATCACAAATGGTGAGAGTGTCTAAAAGAAAAAAAAATTAGTATTATAATAATTCAATTACAATTTATTTTTTAAATCTTTCTTTGAGTGACATCTGTTTCCTGTGTCATAGATTCATTCATTAAAATTTTGAATAAATAATTTTTGTTCACTCTCTCTCTTATTTTTGTAATTATTATTTTTTTTCTTAAAATGAGAACTTCTTGCAAGAATCCACCGATGGATGTGCTCTAAGCAATTCTGATTTGAATACACTCTACTATATCTTACTTTATGGTCACGCGGATATAAACCTATCTTACAGTCTATTTGAATGTCTAGAATAAGGATATATCCGTGGGTTGCACCACCATTTTAGAGATTTTAGTCTTGGTTTGTCTACCTAGAATACCACAAAATTAAACAAAAATAATAATAAATAAATAAAAATAACAAGCTACGTCAATGACATATATACACAAGTTTAAGCAAATTATTTTGCCTTTCTGTTAACAGTTTTGTTACAAATTCTTCAGAAACTGGTCATATGTCAATAAATATTTACTGGAAGAACTCGGTTTTCAAAAATATTTTAAAAGTAATCGAAGATACGACTTTCTAAAGTGATACAAAATGTTTTTGATACATTTGAAATAATTTTTGGCAGCATCGAAACCGATAAATCATTTTCGTTGGATTCCCTTTCGAGTATGTAAGAAACAAAATTAGGAAAATATAGCCATCGAGTTTTCGAAAGGGTCAAAATCAGACCACGAGGTTTAAAAAATCGAAAGATGAAAAAGATATGGAGAAGAAAAAAGGGTCGGTGACATATTTACTTATGGTCCCTTGTCTTGTCTTTTTCTCTTGTCCTCGTGTGTAAGGCGTTGACAACCAAAATTAAAGCATACAAAAGGCTTCTTAATGGGCCAAAATGTTTAGATACTCTAAAGTTAAGGTGAAGCCCATTTAGAAGTTAGCACGTGATAAACTGTAATGTGAATGAAACGAAACCCTTTGATTTTTTAAGACGGCGACCGAGTATTTGGTCGAGCGGCGGGGATTGATTTCGATCTGAAAGAATGTTTCGGAGGAACAGGTTCTTGTCTCTTCCGATGGTTGTCGGAGCTGTTGTGTAAGTTCTCGTTTAATCTTCACTCATCTCCTCGACGACATCTAACTCTTGGTTGATATGAATATTTTAGAGTTCTTCCTTATAGATCTGGTAGATGATTACTAAAAGTTTATTTAGGCATTGGCGTTCGGTGGTCCATTCAGTATCAGTCTGGGTGATTCAGATTTTTGAATTTTTGGTGTTATGTTTATAAGTACCATTCAGATTTTACTAATTAGCGGATCGGGTTCGGTTTGGTTTCTTCCGAATCGGTTCGGATGGATCTAACCATATTTAAAATGTCCAAAAATAACTTTTTAAAAACCTCAAATATATGGCGTAAGGAGTACCGTCAGTAATAGATCTCATAGGGCAGCTCATGGTAATGCAATTAGACGTGAATCCGCATAAGACAGGTAGAATTGTCGGTTGTAATATCTTCAATGTAATATTTCTCATAGTTTGTAATGCATAATTAACCAGTGTTAAAAAAAATATATATAATTATTTACAAATCTAATTAGAAATTAATTAAACTATTTAAATTAACTAAAGAGTATTCAAAATAACAAATAATACAAACTGTAAAAATATTTTGAATATTGAAAAATATCTAAATCACCTTAACATATATAAAAATATTAACATATTTAACTAGTTTCGTATATCTTCGGATCCTAATTCGGATTTCGATTCGGTTTGGGTTAAAAGCAAAGTCCAAAGTAGTAAGCTCAGAAGTCCTGTTCGGATATTTTTGTAAAACAGTTCGGATTCGGTTCCAGTTTTTTTGTGCGGGTTAAGGTCGGTATTTCGGGTTGAGTTAAAAATGCCCAGTCTTAAGTTTATTACTTGAATGATAAGTTAGGTTTTGTAAGAATGGATCTGTACACTGTAAGAATTCGAGGATTGGAATTTCTGGACTCCCGAATTCATGTTTCGTTCTTTTGATTAATTCTGCAGGATCGGTGTGGTTTCAGGTAAAGCGATTTTTGGGCCACCACTTGATCAGTATTGGCAGAAGAAGCTTGAAGGAGAAGCTGCTGCAAAGGAAGCTATTGAAAAGACCTCAGATTAAGCCTTTTAAGTGGAGAATCATCCCTGGAGATTTTGGGTTTATGACACCAGAGAGTTATGTAAATCACAGACCATAAACCTAAAGAGCTTCGAAGCATTCTTTAGTGTAGGATGCGATACTAAAAGCCCAGAAAGTGTAATAATGTTTGTAAGTGCCTTGCGTATTACGTTTTTGCAAAATTTGAAGGAGAATGATAAACCCCTAAAAGCGTTAAATTTCCTTTTCACTTCTTCTTACTTGGAGTTAGTCAAAAACCCTTTTGACCCATTGAATTACTTTTTACAGCCGTGGAAAGTTGAAACTAACCTTAGAAAAGTTTCAAAACCTAGAATCGTTATATCATCAGCTTCGATTTAAGCAAACTCCGTTAGTCTCTCATCACTTTCCGGATTTCAATGGAATGGAAAGCAAACTTTTAGACTTCGGTATGATCAATCAATTTCTTACAGGTCACAAGTTATGACAATACAACAAAGAACAAGTTGGGCCGTTGCTGAATTTGTAACAGAACATACTACTTTCTGATCATCTTAACATTCGAAGCTATCAGATATAAAGGTATAACAGGCTTTTGTTATAAAGATATAATAGGTTTGTTAATTTAAAAGTAGAAACATGCTATTGCTATACACATAACTGAAGAAACGAAGTATTTAATATGTTGCATTCACATCATACAACACTTTGCATAATTAAACACCCAGGAACCTACATGAATGTCTAGAAATAGATGTTAATACGTTAGGCTTGAAGGTGTGTGGTTTCTATACAAAAAAAAAAAAAAAAAAAATCCTTAAACCTTGAATTGCAGGACATCATATAACTAATCAATCAACCGACTTTACAATAGCTTTTTTACAAATTTTTTAAAAATGTATAAATCATTACAAAGATTAATGTACACATGGAATTGGCTTATATTGTGTGATCGGACCACTTTTTGTATGTAAACCACATCAAAACATTCATGCATATAGTCATAGAGACACATTTACCTGTTCAAAGTTCTAAGACTATAGCAACGGGACTATTAATGAGTGTAGAAAGTGCATCTTCTGTAGACGAAATTTAAGAAACTGACCTGAAATGGAAACCCGACACGTCGACAACTTGCTTCTTGCGATTCTGAAGAGGCGAGCCTTCGCGACCCTCGGTGTCCACCCGTAATGCCATGTGGCTTTATAATATTACACGTGGCATATCTGGTGTTGGCTGGATAAAACACATCATCTTGCAGAATATACACGTTTGATTTTCTCTTTTCTTCTCTCTTCTCTTATTTTTTTTTTAATCTTTATTTTGTTTTTATTTTTGTATGAATTTTAGGTGAATGTGGTGCTCCGTAATCAGCGTCAAGCAAATCCAAGATCCTAATGAGAATCGACAGGCGTCTTCTGAATTTAGTCTTTTCGGTTTAAAACTACAAAACAATTGAAATAACAACATTTAAATAAAGGAAGGTTGACCAAAAAAAAAACATTTAAAGGAATTATTTGTATTTTCAGTGAATTGGTCCTAATTTCATTATTATAATTATCTCTATTATTAAAAGAGAAGTACCCACTAAAAAATACCCCTAAATTTTCCAACTTATTTACACTCATATGCCACTGAGAATTTAATTAAACTTCCTATTTAAATGCTTGTCTTTTTCAGTTATATTAATTAAACATCCTATTTAAATGCTTGTCTTTTTCAGTTATATTAATGAGTTATTTAATCAACCAAAAAATACATGCATCACTAACATGTCTTTTTCACGTATATTAATGATAACTCATTTACTGCATCACTAACATCACTGATATATTACATGCATCTAAAATGTGTATCAATAAAACGTGCATCACTAATATAATATAGAGAAATATAATATTAACTAACAGACAATATAACATGTGCATGTATTAACTATATTGGTTTATATAATGTATTCTGCGGTATAATAACGTCACTGTTAAAAAGTAATATAGAGATAACTCTAATTTCAATATCAAATCGGATTACCAATCATATACACATATTCAAACAGCTAATGCCCACAAGATTCAAACAGCTAATCCGATTACCACCTATCCATTTTCTAAATTTTTTTTTAAAAAAAAATTGAGTAAATAGAAAATCAAAACAGAAAATCTTATCTCTATTATAACAGAAAGTTTTGCAAGATCTAATCCGATTACCATCTATCGATTTTCTAAAAAAAAAATAAAAAAAAACAATTCAATAAATACAAAATCAAAACAGAAAATCTTATCTCTATTATAACAGAAAGTTTTGCAAGATCGTATCCTTAAATCAATATCATATCCAAGATTTTCGCATCATAAGCATATATTTAATTTCAACCTGATTGGTCTATAATTTCGGTAACTAATTTTCTTGCGGAAGAGGAAACAATAAATTCAANCAACATATTATTTTGACACAGAACAAATGATCAGAAATAATATATTATTAATATAATTATGAAATAGTTTAGATTGGGATGACCAAATTTTAATCTGTTTTTATATGTTTATTTTTTATACAAATTTACAAAATCTTTTTATTTTTTTAAACATGTTAAACTAACTTTTAATTTTTAGGCATATTGAGTCATAATATAAGTTTTAAAATAATTTGCGGTCATTTCCATTGTCTTTATATATAGTATACAATTCTCTAATTAACTATATATGTTTAATTTTTTTATATGATATCGAAGATTGATCATACAATAGATGGTTTAACATGCCAAAAATATTATATGCTAAGTGAATATAATATGATCAAGTATTACAAATACATCATTTAATAAAATAAATAATCAACAACCGGAAAATCATACCCGCGCTGGCGCGCCGGTCAAGGTCTAGTTTTTACTGTTAAAGTCTGATAACATTGAAGCCGTTTTAGCCGTAGTATGAGGTAGTGATCAAATAACTTTGTTAGGAAAATAAATATTCTTTTCCAAAATATCAAAAGATAATTGTATAAAATGTAGCATGTATACATACAGATACACAATACATGTGATAAATATATACGATATTAACTTGGGTTTCCGCTTCTCTCTTTCTCGTCCACGAACTCAAGTATCGCTCCTCTTTTATAGCTAAAGAAGAATTATTCACTATTTTCTTCCATACAATCTCTCCATTTTTAGGATTCTTCTATTCATCCATTAGTCTCTGTTGAATCAGAACCTCAACACAAAGGTATGTCTTTCTCCCTTCATTTTTCTTTCTCTTTTCGTCTTGAAATTCTTGAGAAAAAAAAACAAGAACCAAATTTTCCTCTCTGGGGTTTTCAAGACAATTCGGTTTCAGATTCTCTCATCTATGCGTTCATGAGCACAAGGATTTAATCTTTGTTTTTCTTTTCTCATGAAAACAACTTTGGGTTTGTCTTCTGCTTCCCATGTATCTTTTTTTCCAATGCGAGTTATTTTTTGTTTGTTATTTCTTTAAATTATACGAACATGCTTTAGATTTTAGCCTTGTGTAGCTAAGTTTACTTCATATTCTAATTATTTTGAATAACAACCTTTTAATTAATTAGTCTTACAGTGAAAAGGAGATTTTCTTTTTGTCAACAGTGAAAAGGAGATAAATGCTTATAAAATCTGCGCCCAAAGATACTGGCTGCTTTCTTATTTAGCTAAACTTTAATATTGTTTACTTAATGAAAATATACAATTGCTACTACATATAAAAAATAAGTAAATAACATAGCTTTTTTTTTTTTGGTCAAAAATAAATAACATAGCTTCTCCTCGCATTCCTCCACTAAAAATAGGTTTGTGTGTGTGTTTTTATATAGGTCTGAATTTTGAAAGCTAATCAAAACAATACAATTGACCTGAATATCAAGATGATGGAAATAGCTTATCAGCCTCGGATTGATTCCGAGATAGAATCACTCGTCGAGAGAATCAACCCTCCCAGGTTCGTGCTTTGTAAATTCTCATCAATTTGTAAACCAATCATTATGATAATCCTATTGCGTTAATGCTGGTTTCTTGCGTTAATTAGTGTTTGTGTAGACAACGACTCAGACCCTGATTGTACACTTGTTAAGGTAAAATCTAATATCTCTCGATGATTTTTGCTTAATTATTAATCATAAAAGCTAACAGTTAATGATTAACTAATTACTCATAAAGCCCTAGTTAATCATGTGTGTTGGTATATATATAATCAGGTAGATAGCGCGAATAAGTACGGGATATTACTGGACATGGTCCAGGTTTTGGCTGATCTCGATCTCGTTATCTCCAAATCTTACATCTCATCTGATGGTGACTGGTTCATGGATGGTAAGTCATCAGCTTTTTTCATCATCACATGTGTGTGTGGACCAACTATATGATATAGCATCTGAAGTATTTCTCTTTGTTAGTGTTTCACGTGACGGACCAACTTGGGAATAAGCTCACAGACCGAAGCCTGATTCTCTACATTCAGCAGGTTCAATAATAAAAAAATAATTATTATAAACATGGCCGTCCTGGGAACATTCACCTTGGGTCCCCTCAAATTCTTTAGAAAAATTTACATATAAGTTTCCGAAAAAAAAAAAATTAAGGCCCCAAATCTGATAAGAAAATATTTAGTTGAAATCGTTAAAATATTGTCTTAGTTCCCTAAAATCTCAAGGCGACCCTGATTATAAATCATATTTTAAAAATATTTATATGAATTTTCTTGTTTACTTCAGGCAATATGTTATAGTCGAAAGGGAGGTATCACAAAAGAGATGCAGAGTAATCTAAAACGTGAAGTACAGCAGCGCCACGTGTCAACAGAACACACTGCGTTTGAGATAACTGGAATCGACAGACCGGGTTTACTGTCCGAGATTGCCGCCGTACTTTCCGACATTGGATGTCATGTGACTGCAGCTGTTGCATGGACCCACCACGAGCGAGCGGCGATGGTTATTTATCTAGAAGACGGGTTTAACGGAGGGCCCATTATCGACCCAATAAGAAAGGCCCAGGTGAAGGATCATCTGGATATAGTCATGGAGGCCCATCAAAGAGTAGGCGATGAGTCTCGTGTCGTCGTGAGTGTGGTCGAGGCTAAAGGAGCTCCGGTCGGATGGGCCCACACTGAGCGACGGCTTCACGAGCTGATGTACGCTGAGGGAGACTACGAGCATTGCTTTGGCTGTGACTGTTGCAGTGGAGACAGGTGCGTATACGTTATTGTCTAGTAATAAAATAATATTGTTCTTTTGGATAACGTAAAGAGTTAAACCCGAGTCCATTAAGAGCATCCACATCAATGAACTCCCTCTAGGGGTTTATTGAATCAATTTTTTATTATTAAAATTTTTCTGTTTTCTTTTTGATTTTTTTTTTTTTAAAAAGAAAAAAAAAACCTAGACCAATCCCTGGCTGACACGTGGTGAACCTTAGGAGAGAGGGGTTCACCCGAGTGAACTTTAGGAGAGAGGGGTTCATAGATTTTTCTTATTTTATTATTTTATTTTTTTGGTTTCCGTGTGAACCCCCCATTTGAACTCTCAATGGGGGTGCTCTAAAGAGAGGTACATCCTATAGACTCTCTCCTAGATATTTAAATGAGTCGAAATCAATAATCTATATATTCGACTTATTTGATTTATTAAATCACTCAAATTGTGTCAAAATCATAAAATTATATCTGTGCTTTAAAAGTGCGGGTCAAAATCTAGATTTTGATGAAAATTCATATAAAATATTTAATGTTTGATTTAGGTTTTTTAAAACTATAAAAAATAACTTATAATATTATTTTAAAATTAATAAAATAATAAATAACAAATATTCATAAGAAAATTATGCCCGCATGTGCAGGCACAACACCTAGTTTGATTTATTTACTCAAGTGCCACAGGACTACCACCACTAGTTAATAAAATAATATTGTTACTATATCATTTTTGCTAAAATAAAAATTATATTGTTACATTATCATATTTGATTTAATTACATGTCACATTATATGTAACAGGTGTGATGCGTTGCGGAGAGGAAGATGCGAGAGGATACACGTGGCGATCGAAGCATGCAATGGTTATTCAATGGTGAGCGTTAAGTGTAGAGACAGACCAAAACTATTGTTCGACACGGTATGCGCGTTAAAGGAGTTACAGTTCGTTGTGTTTCACGCCGTCGCCGGAGCTAGAGGCTCAACGGCGGAGCAAGAGTATTTCATAAGGAAGAAGAACGGGTGCACGTTAGAGACGGAAGGGCAAAGAGAGAGGCTAAGGCATTGTTTGGTAGCTGCGATATCGAGACGCGCTTCGCGCGGTTTCAAATTTGAGGTTCGGACAAAGAACAAGATGGGGTTGTTGTCGGATGTGACGAGAGCTGTGAGAGAAAACGGGTTGTCGATAACGAGGGCGGAGATGAGTACTCAAGGTGAGAATGCGGTTGGGTCGTTTTATGTTGCGGGTGTGAACGGTGGTGAGAAGGATGCGAATGCGGTTGAAGCGGTTGTAAGAGAATTGGGTGGAGTGGTTGTGTCGGCGGTTAAGATGGTTGGGATGGTGTCGTCGAGGTTGGGTTCGTCGAGTGATGTGGAGGAGCAAAACAGAGCTAGGTCGTCGATTGGGAGAATGTTTTGGTCGAAGTTGGAGAGGTTGTCGACGTCGATCAGATCCTTGTGAAGTGTCTAGTTGAATTTCTCTTTCTTTGTTGGCGGGTCGTTGTGGTGATTATCATTGTAAATATAGCTGAACTATGAACTAGGAATGTGTTTTCCTGAATGAAATGTAATTAAAAAGGGATGATTGGCTTTAGATTTGACATACATATCACATAATGAAGTGGATTTTATTCAACGAAAACTGTAACAATTGGCTCGACCAAATTACAGTTTCATTGGTTTCCTTTTCTTAATACAAGGGGCTCTTTCCTTTTCTTAATACAAGGGGGCTCTGTTCGATTCAGTGTTGCGCGACCTATGACTAAGATTATGTTCGTTTATGTGTCGCACGATTTGCAATTTGCGACTAAAATTATGCTTGTTCTTGTGTTGCGCGATTTGCGACCTACGACCTGCAACTAATTGCGTAACCAAAATTTTCTTAATTTTTATTACTATTTTTTGAACGACTTAAAATTGAATCTTACACACGACATGCAAACAAACAATAATTTGCAACATGATCAGCAAACAAACAATAATTTGCAACATGCGATCTGCAATCAGTCACATGTCACAGATTGCGTAACAACAAAATGAACAACAACCTATTTGCAGATCGAACGTCGCAGGTCGTATGAAACCTAAACGAACACAGAAAAAGAAGTAAATTAAACTCAAACATAAACTCTACTCAATAGATATTTTTAAAAAAAATGTTTCATAATTATAGATTTTTATTTCTTCTAGGAAAAATAATTTGAGTTTATTAAATTATAACTGGTTAAAATTATCAAATTTTAAAATTATAAACTAATATATTTATGATAGTGATTTAATGTGTTTTGTAATATGTTTGAAAACCAGAAAATATATCTGTTCAGGTATTTTATTACAGTTTATTTTAACATCAAACCCGGCCCAATAGGTTTATTTAGTTCGTCGGTTTAGAGTTTTTTTTTCAGGTATTTTATTACAGTTAAACCAACCTTATTTCGGTCCGGTTTTTTTTTTTAAAATACTGGTTTACAGACACCTTGATAAACCCTAATAATCTTCGCATTCGTCGTCGCATTCTATTCCGATTTTGAAGAGGTTAAAACTTGAACCTGAAGCCCTTCTCCTCCTCTTAAATCAAAGAACAAAAGCCGTTCTCATTCATCTCAATTCACTCGGATTTCTAAGTCAAAGAAGAGTAGTTAACAAGCAACCATGGCGAATTTGGATGTGGAGCAGCACTCATTCGAAAAGGAAGAGATGAAGAAGAAGAAGAAGGACAGTAAGAAAAGAGCCAGAGACAACGCTAAGAAGCTTAAACAGTTAGCTATGGAGGTTCAAGAGCCAAAAGCAATAACAGACGAAGAACCAAAGAAAAAAAAGAAGAAGAAACTAAAGCAGGTAGAGAAGGAGGTTGAAGAGACCGAAGCAATAACTGCGATTAGTGATGAAGAACCGAAGAAGAAGAAGAAAAAGAAAGAAGAAGAAGAAGAAGAGAAAGTGGAGGAAAGTAGTGGAAGTGGTATAATGACTAACCAAACATTTGAGTCATTAGGATTATCTGATAACACTTACAAAGTTATCAAAGAGATAGGCTACACACGCTTGACTCAGGTAAAATAACATAATAATGTCTCTCTGTATAGCTTAAAGATCCAACCTTTTTTTTAATACCCATTAACAATCTACCCTTGTTTTTTGCAGATTCAAGCTAAAGCAATTCCACCGTTGATGATGGGAAAAGACGTACTTGGAGCTGCCAGAACCGGTTCTGGAAAAACCTTGGCGTTTCTTATCCCAGCTGTAGAGCTTCTTTACCATGTCCGGTTCAAACCTCGTAACGGAACTGGTGTTATTGTGATTTGTCCAACGAGGGAGCTTGCTATTCAGACACATTTAGTGGCCAAAGAGCTTCTTAAGTTTCATTCTCAGACTGTGGGACAGGTTATTGGTGGTGAGAGCAGAAAGAAAGAAACTGAGATTCTTGTCAAAGGTGTTAATTTGCTTGTAGCTACCCCTGGAAGACTTCTTGATCACCTTGAGAATACTGATGGATTTGTATTCAAGAACTTGAAGGTAACAATACACACAAAAAAAAACTCTGATTTTCAATTTTAGGGTACTATTGCTTATTTGGATTTGTCCTGGTTTTGAGCTTAATGCAACTCTTATTATGTGTTAAACCGATTTTCAATTTTGAGTACTGTTGCCTATTTGAATTTGTCATGGTTTTTGAGTTTAATGCAACTCTTATTATGTGTTAAACCGATTTTTCAATTTTGAGTGATATTGTCTATTTGGATTTGTCATGGTTTTAAGTTTAATGCAACTCTTATTATGTGTTAAACCGATATTCAATTTTGAGTGCTATTTGCCTATTTGGATTTGTCATGGTTTTGAGTTTAATGCAACTCTTATTATGTGTTAAACTGAATTTTCAATTTTGAGTACTATTGCCTATTTGGATTTGTCATGGTTTTTGAGTTTAATGCAACTCTTATTATGTGTTAAACTTATTTTTCAATTTTGAGTACTATTGCCTATTGGGATTTGTCATGGTTTTGAGTTTAATGCAACTCTTATTATGTGTTAAACCGATTTTTCAATTTTGAGTGATATTGTCTATTTGGATTTGTCATGGTTTTAAGTTTAATGCAACTCTTATTATGTGTCAAACTGATTTTCATTTTGGGTACTATTGCCTATTTGGATTTGTCATGGTTTTGAGTTTAATGCAATGCTTATTATGTGTTGAACTGCAGTTTCTTGTGATGGATGAAGCTGATAGGATCCTGGAACAGAACTTTGAAGAAGACATGAAGAAGATCATTAAGCTTCTCCCAAAGGTATTATTTGAAGTAACCAGTTGAATCACTGAGAGCTGATAATGGTAACGTCTTCTTTTTTTTTATGTGCTTCAGACAAGGCAGACGTCACTATTTTCCGCCACACAGACAACCAAGGTTGAGGATCTTGCTCGTGTATCACTTACGTCACCTGTTTACATTGATGTGGATGAAGGAAGAAAAGAGGTTACAAACGAAGGCTTGGAGCAAGGTTACTGCGTTGTGCCAAGTGCGAAGCGGCTACTCTTCTTACTCACATTCTTGAAGAGGTTTCACTCGAAGAAGAAGATCATGGTGTTTTTCTCCACTTGGAAATCGACAAAGTTTCACGCGGACCTCTTTCGGTACATCAAGATAGACTGCCTCGCCATTTATGGAGCGATGGATCAGAGCAAAAGGACTTCAACGTTTTTCCAGTTCGTAAAGCAGGAAACTGGTGTCTTGTTGTGTACTAATGTAGGTGCTCGTGGTCTTGACTTCCCACATGTGGTATGTTTCCTTTTAAACAATTTTAAAATGTTGTGAAAGCAAATCTTATTATTCGTCTTTGATTGGGAACTTGTCTGCTTGTTTAGGATTGGATTGTGCAGTATGATCCTCCAGATAATTATACGGTATGTTACTTATATAATTATCTCTTACTCATATAGGGCTAAGAAATAACTCTGATATGAATGTTACTTTAATATTTAGGAATACATTCATAGAGTAGGTAGAACAGCTCGTGGAGAGGGTGCAAAAGGACAGGCTCTGCTTGTCCTAACTCCAGCGGAGTTGGAGTTTATTCAGATTCTCAAGGTAATTGTTTTATCAAAATAGAAACGTTGATGACATTATTGAGCTGATTATAACTGAGTGAAGAGTCTGTTTCTGATTTGAATTATTGCAGGATGCGAAGATTCCAGTTCAAGAACATGAGTTTGAGGAAGCGAAGTTGCTCAATGTGCAGGCTTTTCTGGTAATTTTTATTTATTTATCTACGTTCAAGAGCATAGAGATTTGTTTAACTAATGTTTTTTTTTTTTTAAATTGTAGGAAAAGATGATATCTGAAAACAGTGCATTGAGCGTGTCAGGAAAAGAAGCATACAAGAGTTACATAGCAGGATATGATTCTCATTCTATGAAAGATGTCTTTGATGCTCGACGACTCGATCTCAAGGTAACTAAATCAGCAGCGTTTTCTTTGGATGTCTGCCTATATGATCTTTGTTTTGTGGTAAAAACGAAAAGCTTTTTCTTCTTTCTTAGGACGTTGCTGCTTCGTTTGGTTTCACATCACCTCCGAATGTATTGCTGAAGATACATCGAGGAGGAGACGGGTACAAGAGCAAGAGAGAACCGGTTAATAAGAAGTTTAACAGAGGTCGTGGTGGTGGTAGAGCCCCAGGTAGAACTAAGTTCGAGAGGTACTAAGTAGTAACGAGACAAGACAAGAGAGACCAGTTTTGTCCCTGATACACTTGGGAGCATTTGTCACTCTTTCTTTTTTGCATTAAAACATGTGTTGTTGGTTTATCTTAAAGATCAATTTCTTATAAATTTGCAAGACATACCAATTCTGTCTTATATACAAACATTGGAGTTTCTAATAAGGCCTTCGTATTTTGATAAACGTAGAGAGATTTTATGTTTATATAACCGATAACCAAAAGAACACTAAAGGTCATTTATATTACAATTCATAGACATCAAGCCAATCGTTTGATTCTTTGTTCTCTTTTACCTGACCTGTGTGGGTGTCTTAAATCTGTACCCAGTCTGGTGAACTAGAGTTTGTAGACTTCTTGGAACTCACTGGTACGTCTCCTTCCTCGTCATCTTCTTCTAGATCACTGAATGACACATCTTCTTCATCTTCACCAAGTGGATGTTTAGTACTTGCTCCTCCTCTTTCAACGGCGCTACTAGGTTCTGAAGTCTCTTCATCGTTCAACCAATCATCTGCGTCTTCTTCTTCTTCTTCTACATCCTCAGCTCGCACGTTGATAAATCTAGATGAAGAAGAAGAATCAGTTGATGAGTTTCTTTCTTCAATGACAGCTTTGTCAACGACTTGTATCTCATTGCTCTCAATCAAGTGCTTGTCTGTCTCATACTCCTCTTGATTCACGGTTTCAGCAACTAATGACACAGCAAGAGGTTCAACCACTACAGCATTAGCTTCAGAACTCTCTCCTTCTACATAACTTCTGTTTATTTCCCCTAACTCATGAGATAACATTGCTCTTGCTTCAAGTACCTTAAACACAAGAACTAAGCTTAGCTAAACTTTACATCCCATGAAACCTGACAATGCTAGTTACATACCTGAGGAGTAGAGAGAAGCAAGGCATGGTTTTGACTAAGTTTAGGATGCAAAAGCACAAAGTAAATCAACCAAAAGCAATTCTCAGTCATATACTCAGGACAAATCTCAATCCTCAAAGAAGCAAGGCTAGGTACAAGCCTCTCCATAGCCAAAGCATGCTCATGTTGCTCATCACTCATTTCAAACTCTACAAAAAACAAAAATTGCATCAAATTTCACAAATCTAGATCATAAATGTAGATCATCATAAGGCAGATAGTATTGTCGATTGTCCGAATGCTTGTAGATCATCATAAAGCAGATAGTATTGTCGATTGTCTGAATGCTTGTAATATCATGCTTGTAATTGTCCGAATCGTCTATATAATCTTTCTTATATTAATCGTCTATCTAATATTTCTTATAATTGTAATATCATAATAATTCTTTTTTTTTTTGCAAAAGCAAGCTCAAAAGAGACTTACCATCAAATTCCACAAATCTAGATCATAAACGTGTAGATCATCATAATGCATTTAGTATTGTCGATTGTCCGAATAGTATATGTAATCATTCTTATAACTAATCGTCTATGTAATCTTTCATATAATTGTAATATCATAATAATTTTTTTTTTTTTAAAAAGCAAGCTCAAAAGAGACTTACCATCAAAGGTACCATCATCATCATCATCATCAGGTAAAGGAAGATCCAACCAAGTCTCGGGACGCATCGTTAGATCTCTAACGAACGTAACTAACTCCTCGGTGACTCCGTAATCCTTCGGATCCACTTCTTCCGAACCTAACTGCAAGAAATTCGAAGCGATTTTCGTGAAATCAGAGACAGGTAAATTCTCGGAGAGCTTCGAGATTCCCGTCCTGAATCTCCCTCCAATCTCCGCGAAATCGTTCCTAATCCCAGCGATCAGATCCTCGTCTTCAACTTCCTCACCTTGATCTTGACTCTGATGATGATGATTACTCTCCTGAGGTGGTTGAGATAGGAACGAAGCTACGCCCCAGAATTGGCTTCTCAAGGTTTTTGTGAGTTCGGAGATGTCTTCCTTAACTCCTCGAGGAGACTGTGAATCCGAAACTGATTGATTCGGGATGGAGTCTTCGCTAGGAAGTGGCTTTTCGTCATCGTCTTCGTCGAGCTTGAGTGAGTTCGCGATGGATCTAGCTAACCAAGCCATATCTCAATCTCTCTCTCACACAAGTTGCGATCGTGATCTTTTTACAACAGCTCGAAGCAAAGCTAACCTTCGTAAATATCTTAAACTTGGATTAGGAGAAAAATAAAAATAACAACTTCGTAAAACTTAATTAAATTTAACTAAAACGGCGCCGTGTAGTGATATCAGTTAAAAGGGGCCACGGCGTAGGTCAAATATTAAAGGGCCTAGGTGAAAGCCTAAATGGTTGAGCTAAGGCCCCTTTTAAGAAATAAGCTCTAAAATGATTTTTTTTTATTTGAAAACCATGACAACGGTAACAAAAGATAACGGTAACTTTAAGTCATTATTACCTCGTTGAGCCTATAGCTTTTGGGTTTATCAGGAAACATTGCTTTGAAAACCCTAGACTTACTATTCCTTACAATTTACACCATTTACAAGGAATATTTGTTACATATGATTCCTTAACATTCCTTAAGATTTAAGGAATAAAAGACTATAATTATTCCTTATCAAATTAGAAGGGGAATAGATTTTTCTTTTATTTTTTTCCTCTTCATTCATTCCTTTCTTTCTTATTCCTCGTATTAATTTGATGATTACCAGTTTAAGCCTTATTGTCATTCAATTTAAAAAGGTGTAAAGCTTGAGAGAACTTCTCAGAGAGACATATGAGTAAAAGGCCTTCTCTCTATTTTCAAATTTTCAAAAGTCGCCCAGAATTTCTAATAAGTTAATAACAGAGTTTATTTCAGGTAAATAGCTGGGTTTACCTTCTTCTGTTACCATCTAGAGTTTTCATCTGAACTACTTATGTTTCGAATGCAGGCAGGCAATGTATACTTTTAGCACTTACAGGGAGTGATCATTGTGCTAGTTCCATCACGGCATCAGGGAAGGTAAGCAGTAATAGTTCAAGGGTTTTTGTTTAGTTTTTCCATTAGATAGTGTACTGTATTGATTAGTGTCTCTTGTTATAATAGACTACTCTTGAGAGGTTGCTGTTCTGTCCCAAGAAGGTCTTTGCTACTAGAGTTCTTATTCTAGCTCCAACAAGGGAGCTGGCTGTCAAGTAAGTAGCATTACTTTGGTCCCAAAACAAAAATAAATCTACCTTTTACCATCTTTTGATTCGTATTTCCTGAAAAGCTGGTTTTAATGTGTTGCAGAATTTACAGGATAATGTTTAGAGGACTTGTATAATTGATCCCAAAGTAAACGACCATCTCGCCACCTTCTCTGAATCCAGATTCCATTTCTCAGCCGGTAAGGTATATAATCCTCTTCTTTCTCTGTTTTTAAAAATGTTTTTTTTTTTTTTGGGAGGGGGAGAGGAAGATTCTATATTACCGGATTGATAGACACTTTGTAAATTCAGAATGTGAAAACAAGTAGACCAGTGTCCAGTCTTTGATTGTTAGAGATCGTTATGTTTCATTTGCCTTTTTACACTTACGATTACTTAGTCCACTCATGATCAATCCTGTAATTAAATCTTCTTTCTTCTCTGTTTATAAAATGTTTTTTTTTGGGGAAATTCTTTATTACTAGATTCACTAAATTCATAATGTGTAAACAAATATAATGCAGCGTCCAGTCACTGTTTCAGCATTCTAGTTTCAGCCTCTTGAGGAGACAGTGTTTTGGTATTTCTGCAGGAAGAGATTAAGATAATCGAGGAAAATGTGTTTGCAAATCCATACACAGAACCTGATGAAGCATGAAGACAAAGACATTGCTAGTATCATCTCTCTATTATTGGAGTTTTTCGTGTGAGTTTACATTTAGAGATAAGCATTAGGTTTGGATAATGTACACAGCTTTAAAATTCAGTGGATTGTTGCTTCAAAGCTGGATGACATCCACTTTGAATCACAAGCAGAAGTCTAGCAGCCAAACCAGCTTCAACATCTAAAGCTGTGCATGAACAGAGATGGATTTGAGCAATGTCAATCTCTGTTTCTTCGTCTCCTATTTTTAACCAGTTTCATTAAATCCAACAAGCTATCTGCTCTAAATCCTTTATCCTCTACTAACCTTCCAATAACCAGTCTTGCACAGTCGATTTTGGTTTCGGTGGAACCATCATTCAACATATCAAACCATCTAGCTGGTTGCATCAATCCAGCTTTTGACTTTTGTAAACTTTATTATCGTTGGGGCATGTTATAATCCGGAAAGTATAAAGTCTTGATATGTTAGCGTAACATTTATTGCTGACATCTCAAGTTGCCTGCATAAAGAATCCGTGCAAAAAAATTGTTTAGACCAACTTAAAGTTGAAGTAACTTTTATTTGACAAATTGGTTTGATAATGACATTTGTATCTCTATGCTAAATTCACGTCGACCTTAGCCAGTCTTGTAATATAATACTGATTAAATATAATACTCTTTTATTCAGATAAAGATTTCACTCGTCGTAGTTTTCATAATTTCATTACTTTTTCAGAGATATGAAATTTGGTGTCATATCTCGATCCATCATAAAATAACATTTTCAAGATTTATTTATATGATAACGTGTTTAAGGACATATGGACGAGTACTTGGCAATTGCTATCTAACCATTGATCTCGCCAGCATGATTAAGCATGGATGGATATATCTCAGCTTGTTTTCTTTTATTTTAATACTTTTTATTAGCTTCAACACTCCACGATTATATACTTGGTAAATATCAGAAACATATTGGTGGATTGCAACTTCAACATCAATTTTGACGTAAGCAAATTCTTAAACAAGTAAATATATTTATAATATACTCCCTCTGTTTTATTATAAGTGTCACTCTACAGCTGTGCACACGGATTAAGGAAATAATTAATTTTACATATTTCCTATATAAAAACACAATTACCTATACACCTAACCATATTTTAACCAATAGAAAAACTAAGTACATAATAAAATTAATAAATATTGCATTGAAAACCGAAAACGACACTTATTTTGTAACGTAAAAAATTCTCTACAACGACACTTAATATGAAACGGAGGGAGTAGTTTTTAATAAGATAAGTATCAATAAACTGTAACATCCAACTAGATACATTTATAATACTCTTAAAATATCCATTTCCGTAATGAAAGCTACATTTATAGCCATCTCCTACCATGGACAACATCATCTCTCTCTCTCTCTCTCTCTCTCTCTCTCTCTCTTATATTACCTGATTTTCATTTCACTTAAAAATCATGAAAGCCAAAGAGATGAAGAAAGAGAGAGCCTTAGAAAGACTGGTGAAATCCCCGGTACGTTTCTTGATCATGGCACGTGACGCCTACATACGTAGCATGACATCATGCTCCGTCGGTTTCATCACCGGTGGTGGTGGTGGCTCAGGCGGATTCGGTTTACCCGCGGGTCACTTTCAAATCTTTGAAGCACCAAGCACTACTCTCCCTCGTAGCTTCACACTTGATACGTCAACGACGACACGTGAACGCTGCCGGTTTGGCTCGGACTACTCACGTGTCGGTGGTGGTGGCGGAGAAGACAGGGATGTGATGAGACGAAAGTTGGATCTCCGGAGAAATCATAGTTGTATGGTGATGGGAAAGATCGATGAAGAGAAGGCTTGTGATGAGTTTGAAGAAGAGGGTTTGTTGTCTGTGTCTGATCGGTTTAAGAAACGAAAGTTGTGTGGTGTTTTTACTATTTGTCAACGGTAAAAATAAAAAAGTGTCCCTCTTAAATTATTGTTTTTTCGTATTTTCTTGTTAATTCTCAAGGGACTGATTTTGTGTGCATATAGATTTCTTGATTGTACGTAGTATATGAATTTCAACTATGCATTAGCTTGGAATGTTTTGTTTCATACTATTCACCTAGAGTTGAGTTACATTTACAATATAGTTATTTTGTTGGGTACTGATTTACAATATAGTTGAGCTACGTTTCAACTAACCCAATATAATTATTATATTCGAATCAGATGAGAATCATGAGATCAAATATGTCTATCCAAACAGGTCAAACAAAAAAGTTTTTTTTTTTCATAGTCGTTAATGAAGTCCTTCATGTTTAATACTCCCTCTGTTTCAATATAAGTGTCACTCTACAGCTATGCACACGGATTAAGGAAACAATTAATTTTACATATTTCCTATAAAAAAACACAATTACCCACACACCTAACCATATTTTAACCAATAGAAAAACAAATTACATAATAAAATTAATAAATTTAGCATTGAAAACCGAAAACGACACTTATTTTGTAACACAAAAAATTCTCTACAACGACACTTAATATAAAACGGAAGGAGTATCACTTTTCAGTATTTTTTCTCTTTCACACGACACCAACGTCAACGTAATAACAAATAAAATAAGAAACTATGGTATGATTGGTTTCAGATGTGGATTTAGATTTTTGCTGTAAAATTTATGATGTATGATTTTATGTTGTGGCTATAAGATTTCTAGCCTTAAGTTTTTAAAGAAAGCATGATTAGTTAATATTAACATTATACATTTATATTAAAATTTATTATATACACATTAAAAATATAAGAAAAATATTTTAAAATTAAATTTATAAGTTGATTAATTATTTTAGAAATTATAAAATGATTATGATTTAAATTAATATATGTAATTTCTATTTATATATATATGTGAAACTTTATTTACTTACCGTATATATGTATGTATACATATTCTTACATGGTATTTGTAACATTTTTGTGAATTATATATGTAGGAAATATATAATTATATTTATATTAGTGAAATATATTATTTATATAGGAAATGAAACGTATATGTATTTATAGAAAAAGAAAAAAATATTTTCAAAAAAAGTTGAAGGAGTGTTTTAGAAAATAAACTCTCTAACAAGAAAGTGAACGTTGAAGAAGAAGATGAGCTTTGGAGAAGAAAGAGTTTGTTATCAAAATATTCAACTCAACATTAAAAGTCAAATGTACATCGTATCCGACTTATATACAGTCAAAATAATCAGCTAACATAAGCTTAACCAACTAACCATACTAACCTACACCACTAACATACACATATCATGTGAATAACACGTGATACGCCCCCTCAAGCCTTCAATCCGGTTCAGGTGGAGGAGTGTAAAGGCTTGCCATAGACATACGGTCCATAAGAGAATGAAACGGTCCTGGGTGTAGCGGTTTAGTGAGGATATCAGCTAGTTGATTAGCACTAGCCACATGAAGAACTCTTAGATTGCCAAGCTTCAGCTGATCTCTAACAATGTGACAATCTATCTCTATATGCTTAGTCCTTTCATGAAAGACAGGATTTGAAGCAATATAGAGAGCAGATTTATTGTCACAGAATAGCTTGGCAGTAGCAATTACCTTGATGCCAAAGTCACGGAGTAGTTGTTGTAACCAAAGGATCTCACGTGTAACATCAGCCATGCTACGGTATTCAGCCTCAGTGCTGCTGCGACTTACTACATTCTGCTTCCGTGATTTCCAAGCGATCAACGAAGTGCCCAAGTAGACACTAAAGCCAGAAACAGAGCGACGAGAGTCAGGACAAGAAGCCCAGTCAGCATCTGCAAAAGCATTGAGACAAAGATCTGCTGTGACAGAATAAAACAAACCAAGGCCAGGATTGCTTTTGAGATAACGAAGAATCCGGTGAGCTGCCTGCAAGTGTATATCAGTAGGAGCCTGAAGAAATTGACTCAGCCTGTGCACAGCAAACGTGATATCCGGCCTAGTAATGGTCAAATAGAGTAAACGACCAATAAGCTCTCTATAAGGAGTAGCAGACGGAAGTAACTTGCCAGATTCACGACTCAGCTTAACATATGGATCCATAGGAACAGAACTTGGTTTACAGTCAAGTAAACCTGCATCTTTCAGAAGATTCAGAGTGTACTTTCTTTGACAAACAGAGATGCCTTTTGCAGACCGAGCCACCTCTAATCCAAGGAAAAACCGGAGAGGTCCTAAGTCCTTGATCTTGAAAGCACCAGCAAGAACAGCTTTCAGAGCTGCTAGATCTCCTGAATCATTACTGGCAATGACAATATCGTCTACATAGACGAGTAAAGCAATGAATCCACGAACAGTCTTCTTAGTAAACAATGTAGTATCAGACTGTGACTGTGTAAAACCATGAGCCAGAAGTACATCAGTAAAAGTCTGATTCCATCTTCTTGAAGCCTGTTTCAAACCATAGATGCACTTCCGAAGTTTACAGACTGCATTAGGTGGTAAGATTGTCCCTGGAGCAGGAGTATAACCCTGTGGTAAACTCATATATATCTCCTCATCCAGATCACTATGCAGAAACGCATTGGAAACATCCATCTGTGTAAGCTCCCATCCTTCAACAGCTGCAAGAGCCAACAACAACTTCACACTATTTAACTTGGCCACAGGGGAGAAGGTTTCATCAAAATCAACACCTTCCTGTTGGGTATAGCCTTTAGCCACTAAACGGCCCTTATACCTTTCAACTGTACCATCAGAGTTATATTTAATGGTAAACACCCATTTACAACCAACTAAGTTCTTCCCAAGAGGCAGAGGAACAACATCCCATGTTCGGTTTGACTCCATTGCATCTAACTCCACATTCACAGCTTCTTTCCAAACATCAGATGCCATGGCCTCTTCAAAAGTACGAGGTTCTGTTTCTTGAGAGTAAGAAAGTTGACACATATAGTATGAAGAGGAAAGGCGATGATATGAAAGGACAGAAGAAATATGATGTGGTGATGTATAATGAGGAGGAGAAAAAGAAGAATGAGTATTAAGAAGAGCACAATGATATTCAGACAGATAAGATGGAGCCTTAGTCTGACGTTTAGGCCTTCCTATGTTTCGAGAAACTCCCCCAACCCCAGACATACTAGAATCACTACCAAGAGGTGAAGACAAAAGATCATTACTAGTTGGAACAGACGGGTTGAAATCAGGTGGATGTTGTAAATCAGAATCAGAATGATCTAGAGCATAAGGTACAGGTAAAGGAAGAACAGTATGAGCAAAGAAATCAGGAACCAAAGGAGTAGACAATTTGAAAGGAAAGACATTCTCATGAAAAACTACATTGCGAGAGATAGAAATGGAATGTGTATCAATATCTAAAACCTTATAGCCTTTGTAACCTGCTGGATAGCCAAGGAAAACACAAGGTGTGGCTCTAGCAGAGAACTTATGTCTATCCTTAGACAAAGTAGAAACATAACAAAGAGATCCAAACGAACGTAACAAAGAATAGTCAGGAAGTTTGTGAAGCAAAGACTCAAAAGGACTTTTATTGTTTAACAGAGGAGATGGTATACGGTTGATTAGAAAAGCAGCAGTGAGTATACAGTCTGACCAATATATCAATGGCACATTTGATTGAAAAAGTAATGCCCTAGCAACATTGAGAAGATGTTGATGTTTTCTTTCCACAACAGAGTTTTGTTGTGGTGTATAAGCACAAGCAAAGTAATGTTTCATACCCAGATCTTTAACTAGTTGTGTGAATTTTAACTCAGGAGCATTGTCACTACGAATTGCTTTAACAACAGCTTGATATTGAGTAGACACATACTTCAAGAATACAGGAAAAACATCAACAACTTCATGTTTACTTTTAAGCATATAAACCCAAGTTACTCGTGTACAATCATCCACTATTGTTAAAAAATACTTGTAACCTTCTATTGATTCAGTTGCAAATGGTCCCCATACATCCAAATGAAGTAAATCAAAAGCATGATCTGACAACCTATTAGGAAAAGGAAATGATAATCGTTTTTGTTTAGCTAATGGACAAACTTGACAATGAGAATCTGAATGAATTAAAGAACGAGGCAGATGAAGAGAATCAGCTAGAACTTGCAACTTGACAGTAGACGGATGTCCAAGGCGTTGATGCCAGAGAGTGCCATCCACTGACAAGGATCCACAGAATGACTCCAACGAAGAAGAAACAAGCGAATGCATATCTAGCACATAAAGATTGCGTAGTAAATCACCCTTCCCAATCATCAAGTCCTGAGAACATGCCTGAAGAAAACAATTATCAGGGTAAAAATGAGCAGAGCAACCATTATCACGTAAAAGAACACTCACACTGATCAAATTAAAATGAAACGAAGGAACATAGAGAACGTTTTTCAATATCAAGGAAGCAGACAAACAAATTGTTCCAGTGAATTGAATTGGAACTTTTGTCCCATCAGGTAAAGAGACTACTATATCAGATATTGGAAACGTTTCCCGAAACATACTAAGGTCAGAACATACGTGACTAGAGGCTCCACTATCAATAATCCAAGAAGAGGAGGATAAAGTCGAGGAAAGTGTGGAAAGACATTGATGATTGAAAGTAAGAATGTTATTTTCAAAACGAAGGTTGGAAGAAAGAGAAACAAGGATACCAGATGATGAGGAATTAGCCATGACACCGTTATCTGAGATAGTCGCCTTAGAACATGAAGCTATCACCTCTGAAGTTTGAACATGAGTGTTGAGCTGCTGGAGAAGAGCCTGTAATTGTTGGGGTGTGAGCTGCTTAAAAGACGTATCTACTCCAGAATGAGTCTGCCCATTTTCACCAGAACCAGTAGATACATTAGCAACTGCTTTCTGAGCACCAGTAGGAGAAGGCAAGATACCACGAGACCCAAACTTGTTCTGGCCAGAAGTCTTATAACCAGGAGGAAACCCAATCAGACGATAACACTTCTGTACCACATGACCTTGTTTGCCACAATGAGTACACACCGGCTTGTTAGTCTTAGGTTTGAAGGTATTGTAAGCAGCTGCATACTCTGGAGATTCCATAAATTTCACATGCTGAGAGGAGTCAGAAGCCTGAAGAACAACACTATCATTCTGCAAAACAGGACGAACCATTCTCTGCCTCTCATCCTGAGCCACCATATTAAACACTTCTTCAATCGATGGTATAGGCTTCAACATAAGAATATGTCGTCTTGTCTGCTCATAGGCTTCATTAAGCCCCATAAGGAACTTAGTTACACGACTACGCTGTTGCAATTTCTCCCACAACTCTGCAGCATTACATTCACAGTGGCCACAAGTACAAATAGGTAACTCAATGTAATTCTTATACTCCTCCCACAACGTTATCAACTCAGTATAATACCCACTAACATCCTTAGACCCTTGCTGGATAGTATTCAACCTCTGTTCAATCTCATAAACCCTAGGTGCATCATCTTGTTTAAAACGAGACATGAGATTATTCCAAACATCTTCAGCAGTCGACATATACAGTAAACTCTGGCCTATTTGCTTCGATACAGAATTCATCAACCAAGTTGTAACTAGATCATTGCAACGTGACCAAGATCCAGAGTTACGATCATTCGAAGGAGGTTTACGAATCGTACCGTCAATGAAACCGAGTTTATTGCGGACGTTGAGAGCCATCCTCATAGATCGACGCCAAGAATGAAATTCCGCTCCAGAAGAAAGACGATCAGTGACAAGTTGAAGACCAGCGTGATCATTATGATGCAGATAATAGGGATTATCATAATGATCCAGAAGCGGAGTCTGAGAAGAAGAATTAGCCATCGGAATCGATAAGAGAAATGAGATTCACACAAAGATTGAGAGATTTAGTGAAACAAGAAAGATTGAATCGAGAAAAGTAAAGAGAATCGATTCAATTTAGGTCAAAGAGAGAACAAGAACGCGGAAGATATAGATTGTGAGAAAGTGAAAGAAACAGAGAATCGTAAAGACGATACGAAGAATCAGAAGATCTGACGAAGAAACGCTCATGATTCGAGAAGATCGTTGAGCTCTGATACCATAACAAGAAAGTGAACGTTGAAGAAGAAGATGAGCTTTGGAGAAGAAAGAGTTTGTTATCAAAATATTCAACTCAACATTAAAAGTCAAATGTACATCGTATCCGACTTATATACAGTCAAAATAATCAGCTAACATAAGCTTAACCAACTAACCATACTAACCTACACCACTAACATACACATATCATGTGAATAACACGTGATACTCTCTACAGCCATAAAAATAAAAGTAAAAAAAAAGATATGGCTGTAAGATTTTTATTTTTCTTAAAACAAAGCTTGATTGCTTTCATTTTGGTGCTGTGGAGAGAACTAAAGATATGCACAGCATTAGGGATGGATACTTTGGTTATTTAATCGTTTCGGTTCAGTTTGGTTAATTTAGCTAACCAAAGTAAGTTATAATTAGTTTAGATCGATTTGGTTCGGTTCGGTTTGGTTTATATTCGGTTGGTGTGTGTTTCGGTTCGGGTGAATCAAACAACAAATATCACAAAGTTAGGGCTCGGGGGCCGGAGATCTCGCCGTCGAGTGGCGAGCAATATCGGGAAGATGAGACGGCGAGAAGAAAAGCGACGAAAGTTACACGAAGCTCTTCTTCAAACACTGTACCCTCCTTCATCTCCTTCCTCTTCTCCGTTGTCTCCCGTATGTATTTCCTCATTCCATATCTCTTCTCTAATTCATAATTACTTATGCCATTGTTTTGAATTTGGGGTTTCAGGTTAAGTTTGATGACGAACCATTCGATGTAACACTCATAAACCCAGGTAACACTCTGATGCAATTTTAACATGATTTTAGCGTTGTATCAATTTACATTCACAATCAATTTTAATTCAGAGGATTACGTGAACATCGATTCATCAAATCACGGCGATGACGACGAAAACGGAGGCGAGTCAGAGACAAAACCGAGTCGAGCTCAGAGGAAGAGGATAAGGAAGAAGATGCTCAAAGAGGAAGCTGCTCGACGGAGGAAAGTCATTGGACCTCTGCTTCCCACAGAAATGATTCAGACACGTGATGACATAGTCGGAGATGCTGGTGGGAGCGACTGTGGAGAAGAGGCGAGTTGCGTACAACCTGCTCGATTAAATGCCTCAGAGAAAGAAGGTACGACTTTTTTTTTACTTTCGTACATATCTAAACTAAAGCCATGTTTATTGGAGTTCGTAGGTGAAGTTCTTAGTTTTAGTTTTGGTTAAGATAAAAATTAAGAACTGGCTCTTAAATAACAGATATAAGAACCATTTCTTAGCAAAAAAAATATAAAAAATAAAAAATGTTAATTCATGAGTTAAGATCACCTTTATCCCTGGTATTTAGGGGATTGCTTATCACCTTTATCCCACAAAAGCAACAAGCATCGGAGCTCTAGAGTCCAAATTAAGCGCCGTGTTTTTTGAGGTTTGCCTTGTTTTGCAAGGTCCACTGATATGTGGCGGTCTGCAAATGGTCATTTTTGAATTTTTTTTAATCAGAAAAATAGAAATGAAAAAAATAAAATTTCTAAGCACTTTTTTTTCTATTTAGGGATAAAGGTGCTCTAAAAATCTCACTCTAATGGAAGTTGCTTAGAGAGTTGCTTAAGAGGAGAAAACTGCTTAATTTGAAGAGAGAGAGTTGCTTAGGAGGAGAGGAGTTGTTTAATTAAGCACTTTTCACACTCTCTCTCTTCAAATTAAGCACCCCTCTCCTTTTAAGCAACATGCATTAAACATGGTAGTTTCCAATAAATATGCTCTAAAATGTCATAATCATATTCTCTATATTTAGACCAAGAGTTTGGGAAGTTTTGACTTTATTTAGAATCTACTTATTAGCTCAAGTTGTGGCATTGTTGAACTCTTTGCACAGTCAATCAAAGCCTGTCTCTTTCGTGTAATAAAGTTTTGACTTCATTCAGATTCTACTTAGCTCAAGTTGTGGCGTTGTTGAACTTTTTGTGCAATCATTCAAAGCCGTCTCTTTCCTGTAATAACTGCATTACGTTATCTGACTCTGTTAATGGTTTGATTTTGTAGAGAAACTCAAACTCGAGGGCAATGATCAGACTAGAAAAGTCAAGAAGAGGAGAGAGGCAAAGAAACTGGCGAAAGAGAGTTCTAAACCAATTCAAATCCAAGAACTTTGAAAATCTATAAATAGTATACGTCCATGAGTTTTTCTAAGTAAAAATTTCATTAATCTAAAAAAATAGTGAAGAAGAAAATTCTTCCTAACAAAACTATATTTCTGATTATCTTTATTCTATAAATAGATAATTCATGTCCTATAATTTCAAACACTTGGATAATATAAGAAAGTTTGATACTGACACTTAGGTTACATCCGTTATAATGATTTGTTCATGATACAAATTTATGGTCGGCATAATTAGCGTTTTATGCATGAATTGATGATTTGTATGTATTTAGAAATTCTGATGATGGATTAAAAATTATACATTGAGAGTGTGGTTTGGTATTTTTAAACAACATTTAATTGTTTAAAAATTATAGATAGCATTTATCAGAGAATTCCATTTTTTCAAAGGTATTAACCCACAATTTCAAGAAAAATTAGAACTATTTTATTTTTGTTTTAATGCATATTTGCATCATTAATTGACATATGAATATTAAAGAGGTTTGAAACCTTATAGGTTCTCATTTCTCTAGAAAATATTATAGGGGTTAGGTCACTTTTTGGATCATATATCAAGTTTAAATAAACTACGCGTTGCAAAAGTTAGGTATGATGACCATGTAACATGAAACTATGTTTAGACTACATTAATATACATTAAGAGTGTGGTTTTTTATTTTTAAAAAGTGCTAAAATGTCTAAAAATTATAGGTAGCATTTATCGGAAAATTCAATTTTTTCAAAGGTGTTAACCCATTTATTTCAAGAAAAATTAAATTTTTTTTTATTTTTGTTCTAATGCATATTTTCATCATAATCAGAATTAGTATGAAGATAAAAGAGGTTTGTGATCATATATGTTCCCCTTTCTCTAGAAAATATAGATTTTATAAGGATAAGTAGACTAATTAGATCGTACATGAAGTTTAGATAAATTACTCGTTGGAAAGTTAGAAATGATGACCATGTACCATGAAAATATGTTTAGCCTACATTAATATACATTGAGAGTGTGGTTTGGTATTTTTTAAAAGCACTAAAGTGTCTAAAAATTATAGGTAGCATTTATCGGAAAATTCAATTTTTTTCAATGAGGTTAACCCACATATTACAAAAAAATAGGAATTTTTTATTTTTTCATGCATATTTGCATCATAAACTCACATATTATGAATATTAAAGAGGTTTGAGACTTTATATGTTCTCATTTTTCTAGAAAATAGAGATTTTATAGGGATAAATACAGTAATTAGATCTTATATGAAGTTTAAATAAATTACTCGTTGGAAAGTTAGAAATGATGACCATGTACTGAAAATATGTTTAGCCTACATTAATATACATTGAGAGTGTGGTTTGGTATTTTAAACAATATTTAATTGTTTAATAATTATTGATAGCATTTATCAGAAAATTCCATTTTTTAAAGGTATTAACCCATATATTTCAAAAACAATTAGAATTTTTTTTATTTTTGTTTTAATGCATATTTGAATCATTAACTGACATATTATAAATATTAAAGAGTTTTGAGACTTTATGTGTTCTCATTTTTCTAGAAAATGGAGATTTTATAGGGGTTAGGACACTTATTAGATCGTATGTCAAGTTTAAATAAACTACACGTTGGAAAGTTAGGTATGATAACCATGTACCATGAAACTATGTTTAGACTACATTAATATACATTAAGAGTGTGGTTTGTTAATTTTAAAAAGGCTAAAGTTTCTAAAAGTTATAGGTAGCATTTATCGGAAAATTCAATTTTTTCAAAGGTGTTAACCCACATATTTAAAAAAATTAGAATTTTTTTTATTTTTGTTTTAGTGCATATATTTGTCATACTCAGACATAGTATGAAGATAAAAGAGGTTTGAGACCTTATATGTTCCCATTTCTCTAGAAAATAGAGATTTTATAGGGGTTAATACACTAATTAGATTGTATATGAAGTTTAAATCAATTACTCTTTGGAAAGTTAGAAATGATGATCATGTACCGTGAAAATATGTTTAGACTACATTAATATACATTGATAGTGTGGTTAGGAATTTTTTAAAAACACTAAAGTGTCTAAAAATTATAGGTAGCATTTATCAGAAAATTCCATTTTTTCAAAGGTATTAACCCACATATTTCAAGAAAAATTAGAATTTTTTTATATTTTTGTTTTAATACATATTTGCATCATTAATTGACATATTAAGAATAGTAAAGATGTTTGAGACCTTAAATGTTTTCATTTCTCTAGAAAGTAGTGATTTTATAGAAGTTAGGATAGTTATTAGAGTGTATATCAAGTTTAAATAAACTACGCGTTGGAAAGTTAGGTATGATGACCATGTACCATAAAAACTATGTTTAGACTACATCAATATAAATTAAGAGTGTGGTTTGTTATTTTTAAAAAGCGCTAAAGTGTCTTAAAATTATAGGTAGCATTTATCGGAAAATTCAATTTTTTAAAGTTGTTAACCCACATATTTCAAGAAAAATTAGAATTTTTTTTTTAAAGCATATATTAATCATACTCGGACCTATTATGAATATTAAAGAGGTTTGAGACCTTATATGTTCCCATTTCTCTAGAAAATAGTGATTTTATAGGGGTTATGACACTTATTAGAGCGTATATCAAGTTTAAATAAAGTACGCGTTGGAAAGTTAGGTATGATGACCATGTACCAATAAAATATGTTTAGACTACATTAATATACATTGAGATTGTGATTTGGTATTTTTTAACTGCACTAAAGTGTTTAAAATTTATAGATAGCATTTATTAGAAAATTCATTTTTTTCAAAGGGGTTAACCAACATATTACAAAAAATATTAGAAATTTTTTTATTTTTTGTTTTAATGCATATTTGCATCATGAAATGACATATTATGAATATTAAAGAGGTTTAAGACTTTATATGTTCTCCTTTTTCTAGAAAATTGAGATTTTATAGGGATAAATACACTAATTAAATCTTATATGAAGTTTAAATAAACTACTAGTTGGAAAGTTAGGTATGATGACCATGAACCATTAAAATATGTTTAGACTACATTAATATACATTTAGAGTGTGGTTTGGTATTTTTAAAAAGCACTAAAGTGTTTGCAAATTATAGATAGCATTTATAAGAAAATTCAATTTTTTCAAAGGGGTTAACCAACATATTACAAGAAAAATTAGGAATTTTTTATTTATTTTAGTTTTAATGAATATTTTCATCACAAACTGACATATTATTAATATTAAAGAGGTTTGAAACTTTATATGTTTTCATTTTCCTAGAACATAGAGATTTTATAGGGATAAGTACACTAATTAGATCTTATTTGAAATTTAAATAAATTACTCGTTGGAAAGTTAGAAATGATGACCATGTACCATGAAAATATATTTAGCCTAATATACATTGAGAGTGTGGTTTGGTATTTTTAAACAACATTTAATTGTTTAAAAATTATAGATAGCATTTATCAGAGAATTCCATTTTTTCAAAGGTATTAACCCACATATTTCAAAAAAAATTAAAACTTTTTTTTTATTTTTTTAATGCATATTTGCATCATTAATTGACATATTATGAATATTAAAGAGGTTTGAGACCTTATAGGTTCTCATTTCTCTAGAAAATATTATAGGGGTTAGGCCACTTTTTGGATCATATATCAAGTTTAAATAAACTACGCGTTGCAAAAGTTAGGTATGATGATCATGTAACATGAAACTATGTTTAGACTACATTAATATACATTAAGAGTGTGGTTTGTTATTTTTAAAAAGTGCTAAAATGTCTAAAAGTTATAGGTAGCATTTATCGGAAAAATTCAATGTTTTCAAAGGTGTTAACCCATTTATTTCAAGAAAAATTAGAAATTTTTTTATTTTTGTTCTAATGCATATTTTCATCATAATCAGAATTAGTATGAAGATAAAAGAGGTTTGAGATCTTATATGTTCCCCTTTCTCTAGAAAATATAGATTTTATAGGGATAAGTAGACTAATTCGATCGTACATGAAGTTTAGATTAATTACTCGTTGAAAAGTTAGAAATGATGACCATGTACCATGAAAATATGTTTAACCTACATTAATATACATTAAGAGTGTGGTTTGGTATTTTTTAAAAGCACTAAAGTGTCTAAAAATTATAGGTAGCATTTATCGGAAAATTCAATTTTTTTCAAAGAGGTTAATCGACATATTACAAGAAAAAATAGGAATTTTTTTATTTTTTTAATGCATATTTGCATCATAAACTCACATATTATGAATATTAAAGAGACTTGAGACTTTATATGTTCTCATTTTTCTAGAAAATAGAGATTTATAGGGATAAATACACTAATTAGATCTTATATGAAGTTTAAATAAATTACTCGTTGGAAAATTAGAAATGATGATCATGTACCGTGAAAATATGTTTAGACTACATTAAAATACATTGAGAGTGTGGTTTGTTATTTTTAAAAAGTGCTAAAATGTCTAAAAATTATAGGTAGCATTTATCGGAAAATTCAATTTTTTCAAAGGTGTTAACCCATTTATTTCAAGAAAAATTAGAAATTTTTTTATTTTTTTTCTAATGCATATTTTCATCATAATCAGAATCAGTATGAAGATAAAAGAGGTTTGAGACCATATATGTTCCCCTTTCTCTAGAAAATATAGATTTTATAGGGATAAGTAGACTAATTAGATCATACATGAAGTTTAGATAAATTACTCGTTGGAAAGTTAGAAATGATGACCATGTACCATGAAAATATGTTTAGCCTACATCAATATACATTGAGAGTGTGGTTTGGTATTTTTTAAAAGCACTAAAGTGTCTAAAAATTATAGGTAGCATTTATCGGAAAATTCAATTTTTTTCAAAGGTAACCCACATATTTCAAGAAAAATTAGAATTTTTTTTATTTTTGTTTTAATGCATATTTCCATAATTAATTTACATATTATGAATCTTAAAGAGGTTTGAGACCTTATATGTTCTCATTTCTCTAGAAAATGGAGATTTTATAGGGGTTAAGACACTTTTTAGATCGTATATAAAGTTTAAATAAACTACGCGAGAGTACATTAATATACAATGAGAGTGTGGTTTGGTATTTTTAAAAATCGCTAAAGTGTCTGCAAATTATATATAGCATTTATCAAAAAATTCAATTTTTTCAAAGGGGTTAACCCAC